CAGCTCCACTGCCGGGGAACGAGGTCGCAAACGTGTGTGTGCCAGGCTACCTGGGAGGGAGCGGGAGTAGATGGGAGAAGTTTAAGTTTAGATTGGATATTCGGGGGAAGTTCTTTCCTGAACGAGTGGTGAGGCACTGGAACAGGCTGCCCAGGGAGGTGGTGGAGTCACCAACCCTGGAGGTGTTTAAAACAAAAGTAGATCTGGCACTTGAGGCTGTGGTGTAGTGGTTGGGTGTGCTGGGATGAAGGTTGGACGAGATGATCTTCAGAGGTCCCTTCCAACCCCTGACATTCTGTGATTCTGTGAGAACTATTCATGCTCAGGCAGGGGGGCAGGGAAGGAGGCCCATCCTCCTGCAAAGAGGGGTTTTATTTCCTGCTTCCTGGGCGTTCGGGGTGGAAAACAGGGAGTCAGGGTGTGTGCGCAGCGCCCCGCTGCTTTGCTTAGGCGGACAAAAGCGGTTGGAGGAGAGAATTGGGATTTGCCCAAGCCTGGGGCTAATTCAAACAGCCTCCGGGGTTTTGTGGGGAGAGCAAGGGAGCTCGCAGCCTGGCACCAGCAGAATCCCGGATCTGAGAGTTCAAAGAGCAGAGCAGTAGCTTCGAGGGCTGTACTCACAGGATCTCCGAGCCGTAGCAACAGCTGCTGGAGGATCAGCAGGTCCCGACAGATCAGGAAACGGATGGCGGCAATCTTGTACACCCCCCAGCAAACCACGTTGACGGCGGTAGCGCTCCCGTAGAGCTGGGTGAGGTTCAGGCGCATGTTTAGATGATGAGCTGAAAGATAAAACCCACCGAGATAAGGCAAGGAACTAGCTGGACAAGAATGCGTGCTGAGCTGAGCCGCCGATTCCCCAGCTCAGGCTGCAGGAGCTTTCACCTCTTTCCATGTCAGCATCCGTCTCGTAATCCATTTCTCGGATGAGCGCTCCGATGGCAAGGACGGGGTTTCGGATCTCCTGCAGTTTGCTGTGGATATCCTCCATCACGTTCTCCCTGCAAAGCGAAAAAAGATTATCATCATGAGGTTTTAACTCAAGAGGGCTCCCTTTCCTCCCTAACTCATCCTCCCTGCGAGGGAGCGTGTCTGATCAGCTTGGACATCATGGGAATCCTCTTCTGGCTTGGATTTTTATTAGAGTGCCTGCAGGGCCCCGTCTATTTATTCCACTCCTCCAGGCAAGCAGGAAATAACAGCCAGATCGCTGGCATTCCGTGGGGGAAATCATTTCAGGAGGTGAGCTCAGGAACCACACAGCTTAACCAAGGCTCTGACCTCTGCCGTGTGTCTGTGGACACTCCTCTTCCGCACCGATCACCTAACAGGGGCTTGTTCTTCTCTCTCTTCACAAAAATCCCCCAAATGTCTTTCCAGGCAGGAGCAAGGGGGGGTTAGAGACAGAAGATCCTAATAACATTGCCGATAGCCCTGCTCCCCATTGCTTAGAGGAGCTGGAAAAGTCTCCCGGAGACTTTTTTCATCCCAAACAATCCCTCGGATGGCAACCGAGGACGACAGCTCCAGGCAATCCCTGCTCAGATATCCCTGCAAAAACTTCTCCTTACGTGTCATTAGCTATCAAGTCCTCCAGGATCTGCTCTGCAGCCTTTTCTGGAGGCTGGAGGCGGGAGCAAGCCATTTCCATGATGAATGCCATTTCCATGGAAATTGATTCTCCGATCAGGCGAAGGCACTGGACAAGACAGACAACATCACGAGACATCTCCAAATCTGTAATGAAAGAACCTAACTGTATATTCACGAGAGATTTCAAAGCGAAGGTGGGAGGACCGTTCCAAACCAGTTAGTTCAGCTCCTATCAGCAAAAACGACCAGGAGCAGGTTGGTCTCGGTCCCGCATGTCAAAGTGACCCTTCCCTGCTAACACCGAGGCCAAATTAAAGCTCAGGAGTTGACCAAGGAAAGATTTGGGCTTTAGTCTTTGGAAAGTAAGAGGCACCGTTGCAACAATAAAACAACAGAATTCCCTCCAACGGATTTTTTTCTCCAGCCACAGGTTGAAAGGAAGTAATTAGGGCAGCAAAAAAAAAAAACACGAAAAAACCCACAAAACAACCCAGAGCAAAGGGCTCCGGAAGCTCCGCTTTGCAGAGCAGAACGCGCTCTCATCACAGCAGCCACCCGTCTGCAGGAGCTGAGAGAAGATTTTCACGTTCTTAGAAAAGATCTGAAGATTCAGCACCAAGGGTTTAAATCACTGCTTGGCAAGGCGGTCCTTTACGCTCTTTTAAACGAAGCCACATTTTTGGAGAAGTCTGAAACAGGGCAGGAGCTGGTGGCCTCCCAAACTTAGGCCTCCACAGCTCCCCTCCCCACAGAGCCAGAAATAGCTCGACCAAACAGATGACGATTCTTCTTTATAAAAATATCAAAAAAAATAAAATCACTCAAGCATGAAAGTGGGGCTGAGGTAACATTTTCCATCGCTTTTTCCTTGTGAAAGGGCCAAAGCAAAGCCTAGAGGGCACTGCGGCGACGACACCAAGGACAGCTTTTGCGCACGCTGGCGTTCGCCTCCCAGAGACAAGAACCGGCGCAAGCCCTCCCCACAGCTTACGCTAAAACATTTGTCCCCAAAACACAGCCCTAAAAACTGCGTCTGCAGAACCAGGGAGTTGAATCCAGTCAGAGGATCACGAGTTTCCCTGTTTGTCTGCAATCTTGGAGTTTACTCCATCAGCAAGATGAAGAGATTGGGGAATTTTACAGGAGAGAAAGCCTCGTGCCCAGCCAGAGAGAACACAAAGCGGGGTTCATACAGGGCTGGGGAGGTCACCCCCATGACTGGGTGTCACTTGTCACCAAGCGACACGTGGCCTGAAATCTAAGATTCCTCCTTTTTAAGTTATCTGAAGCCAGTCGCGGTGGATTTGCAGCCTTGACGGCGCTGGCACAAGCATGGCAGCAGGTTTCATGCAACAAAACTCCCTATGGGTGCTCAAATGAGAAAAATCATCTCCGTGTCGGTAATTACGGAGACGGGAGCGCTTTGAGAGGCCTCTGTGGAAGCTCCCGCATCCCTCCAACCCAGGGCTTTCCCGACACGCAGAGGAAGAGCTCCATGTCTCCTCACTTACCATCAAAGATGGCAGCGTCGTCCTCGGTCAGGAGGTGCTCGTTCGAGAGGAGATAGAGATGGTCCACCAAGGCGCAGGGCACGAGGAAAGACAAGGAGCCCTAGAAAACGGGAGGAGAAAACTCTTGAGCTCCCCGAATCCAGGGCTGGGTCAGAACTCTTCTCTGGAGATCGGTGCTTGGAGTTCAAGCTCACCTTCTTGAGCAGGCACACCATGCTGGTGTAGGGGTTCAGGTGCAGTGCCAGGGGCCGCGAGAGAGCTTCTTGGTACTGAAGGCAGCAGGCATAAAACTTGGACCAGAATTCCACCTGCAGCTGCCAAAACTCTTCCGGTGAGCACTCGTACTCCGTCACGCTGCCCTGGAACTAGCAGGAGACAAAAAACAAGACGTCGAGACGAGGACGGGAGGTGAAACAGAGCAAAAAAGCCGTAGTGTCCCACCACTTCGTCAAAAAAATGGAAGTTTTTTTTCCTACGATCGCTACAGAGCTCACAAAACCACGTTGGGAACTTTCCAGCAACAGCCTCAAGGACGAGTTGTAGGTGGAAGGGCTGCTGGCTCGGACAATTGGGCAGCTCAGAGTAAAATCTGGAGAATTATGATAAAATGGGGGGAAATTCAAACGCAAAAGGGCAGCCAGCTGGTCCTTCAGACAGGTCCCCTAAGCAGATTATCTTCTGGTGGCCAGAATTACGAGAATCAGCTCTGCTCCCTCACCCACAAGCAGTGAACGGGCAGCACACGATGTGTGACTGGCACGAAAAGCGCTCCCAGGGCGCAGCGAAAGAAGGAAGGACTCCAAAAAAATAGAGGAAATGTAAAAGCCAGGCAGGAGGGATAAAGATTTGTACTTTGTTTTATGGCTTTTTGGTTTTTGTTTGTTGTTTTTTTTCAAGGTCGTATAATTCCCTCAGAGAGACAAAGGGCAAGACAAGGCCTGGGGTCACTTTGTATCTCACTTGATTTTCCTGAACCATTAGGACACATATAACAAATGCAAAAACAAAAAGGAGGAAGGGGAGAAAAAAATAAATCTCACTTCGCTTTCCACAGCTAAGGTAACCTCTTTTTTTAACTCGTCCCACGTCAGATCCATGTGTCTCTCGCTTCCTTGAGAAAAGATCTGAAAAGCAGAACAGCAAGCTTTTATTTTCAAGCAAGAAGAGTCATTTAAACGAACACGACAATCACATCCAGCCCTTTGGGGGGTGAAAGCATAAAAAAAAAAAGAAAAAACACAAAAAACACCCCAAACCAGGTCTAGCTAAATGTGGGGCATATGGATGCACAGCTTCCCTCTTCTGAGGGTTTAGAAATTATCAACCACAAGCCGCTGCCCACCCAGAGGTCTGAGGAACTCTGCTGCCTCACGTCTAAATTGGAAAGGCCGTGCACCCAGCGCCCTCCCGCCAACCTGCAAAGCCTTCTGGATGGCTGCGTTTGCGAAGCGGCCGGGCATGAAGAGGTACTCCAGGTAGGTTTCCTGCAAGAGAGGAGGAGATCACAGTTTAGAAGAACGTGTCAAGAGGAGAGCACTTTCCGTCCTCCCTCTCATTCTCAAACTCACCCCCTAGATGTGTGTTTCTTTCTGGCTTCAGTTCATGCCCAAGCTCTGCTCCAAACCTCTCCCCTCCCGACCCCTCAGCAGCTCCCGTGTTGGAAAACCGCTTTGCTCAGGCTCCTGATCTTGTTTATCCACGTGTCTTGTCTCCAGGCTCTCTCGATTTACTTGAAAGCCTCCTCACCTTGCAACTTGTGGTTTCAAAACGGCATTTAGCGCTTTAATGGCGCGCTAACAGAGGCTAAGGCTCATCCCCTTTAATTTGGAGTAATTTTAAGACTGAATCAATACAATTTGCACGCTTGAACCGTCTTAACGTTCTCCCGAGCAAAGAACCTTCGTTATTTCTTGGTGCTGTTTTACAGCCGGCTCACCCTGGGGTCCTGATCGTGTCGAACCGTCACCTCTTCTTCAGGCAGAAGCTGCACAAAGACCTGGTTCCACTGGCCTGCGACGTTTCTGGAAGAAAAACCCAAACCAGAAGCAGTTTTGCATTGCAGCGCTCCGATGGGGCGCACCCAGCACCGACCACCTGAACCAAACCCGGCACTTGGACCAGCGACCAGAGATTTTTACCTTCGGATGTGGTAACGTGGGCTTTCGACGAGCAACAAGCGACAGATTTAACCAGGAGAGCTCAACAGTGGCACCTCCAGCCCTACGCTAACAGGAGGGGTTAGATCCCCCCATTCCTATCCCTGCTATCCCATCACACGTGTTCACTGAGCGACTCTCAGGCTGACCCAGTAGATTTCTTCTGCTTAAATCTGCACGCTCCCAGGATTTTTTCACCCACTATTTAACTCCCCAGCCTGGACACGCGCCAAGCCTGCCCTCTCAGCTTTTGTAAAGATGGGGACAGTTCTTTCACATCCCTGGTCTCCTCAAAACACGATCTTTCTTGGCAGGGAGCAGACAAGTTCTGTTTTGAAGGAGCTGTCGCCCTCCCTCCGACGCGCTCGCGGCAGCCTCCGCTCCCAGCAAGCCCGTCGCTCGGCTTCTCCCATTTTTCGCATTCCTACAGCTTTGGTGTAAAGCCAAACCAAAAATAAAAATCCACGTAATACGCGCCGCAGGACGACGACGGTTGCGCACGCAACGCAAACATCGCAGTAGGAAGAAGAGGGCACTCCTGCATCCCCATAAGCTCAGGCAGAAGACTTGAGGAGCAAAACGAGAGCTTTCTAAGGAGCAGCAGAAACTCACTGCTCGAAGTTGATGTATTTCACAACAGTTTGGTTCTCTTCGTTGTGCCACAGCGCCCAGATCTCGGCCGAGGTTAAGGCGAAGTCAACGAGAGTCTCCTGGGAGCGAGACGGAGAGAGCACAAATTCAGCTCCTCGTCGTAAAATCAAGCCCAGCAGCAACACGCGCGTACTCAACAGCGAAACATCCCCTCCTATCACTCGACCAGGATTTAGGGAGTTTTTTTTATTCACATCTAAATCCTCAACAAGCCTGGGATCTCGGTGCTTTCTGGGGGAGCTCCAGCACTCACCTGCGAGGAGAAGAGCGAGGAGATGTGGTCGAGGCTGTAGCGGTTGCTCTCGGTGCTCACCAGCTGGAAGACACAGAACTACAAAACACACCTCGTAAGGGATTTGCTGAAGGACTAACACGGCACGGGGAGACTCAGCTCTACCTCAATCCGACAGATTTCTTGCCGCCTTTCGAAAGGCAAAACCAGAAAAATGGTGAAAACAGCCCTGCGGGGAGCTGCTGGCCGCAACACGATGACGGCAAGTAAGGGGGACCGAGGTGGAAAAGCCCCGAATCCCGGGGCCGCTCACCGCAAACCGAGCTCCGCGTGTTCTCACCGGAACACCAGCGGGACGGCAGAAGTCGCGACGCGCGCTTCTGCTCCGTAGGGCAATCCCCTAGAGAAGGGAAAGGGCAAGCTGTCCAGCAGCTGAGACCATTCCGTGCCGTCATTCCTGTCCTGCTAAATTTATGGATTCGCCCCAGGAAGCAGAAGTTCTGCAGAAGTCTGTTTGGCGACACACCCGCACGCTCCCAGGAGCCCGGCGTAAACCTCCTGTCAGTATTTCCAGGCTTTTAGCTCTTCTTAGAACTTTCTTTTTCCCACAGCACGTACGTGCTTTCCGGATCCTACCGGACCGGGAGGTGAACAAGTGAACTAGTGGTCACAGATCAGCTCTGGCACACAAAAAAAATCCACTTCCAGCGCATATCCCACAACGTTGTGAGGCAAAAACCACTTACTTGGAAAGCACCGCTCTCTCCGGAGGGTCAAACACAAAACTTTTCCCTATTTCTCACCTTACAGGCCCAAAGAGGAATGACACATTTTTCACGCTGCCCAGGAAGGACGTGTCGGCAGCAAGGAAGCCCCGTCGGTCCGTACCTGCCCTCGCTTGGGCGCGTGCATGTACACGCCGAGGCAGAGCCCCAGGGACTGAGAGAAGGCCAGTCGCAGTCGGTGTCCCCCTGCTGACCGGCATGAACTCCAGCAGATCTGCAACCATCAGGCACATTTGATCCTATGCAAAAAAAAAAAAACCAAAATAACAAAAAGTATCAGGGAAGCGGCAAAGGAAACTGAGAAACTGCCCCTTCTCCCTCATCCTTCCCTGTTTTGGTCAAGAACTTCTGCTGCAGGATGCGAGTAAAGCAGTTGTATGTGTCCCTGAAC